TCAAAGGTATAACGGTTGCAAAAGATGCATTACCGAGTTTTGCGAAAAAAAAACGCGGACGAAGTGAGCTTGATACTCAGCAGTTGGCTTTGCAACAAAGTCGAATAATCTGAATACGGAGTCATTCGAACACGAATTCGAATAAACATTCGAATAAAACATTCGAATAAAAACTATTCGAAATTCCATTTTTTGATTATTCGAGTTTTCGAATAATATTCGAAATCTCGTTTTTTGAATATTTCGAGTTTTCGAATTATATTCGAAACCTCGTTTTTTGATTATTCGAGTTTTCGAATTTTTTTCGAAACCCTTTTTTGATTATTCGAGTTTCGAATATTATTCGAAAATGGAAGAACTCCGATTATCGAATTTCGAATACGAATATATTCGAATGATCGAATTGCTATTCGATTCGGACCCAGTACTCTGCGTTGATACCACTGCTTGACCTTTATTACATTGTTTTGACAGGGCCGAGCGGAACCGAGTAAGCAAGCTAGTTCGTAATTATCATAAATTCTGTTACCAAAGTGCTACACTATAATAATATAATAAGTGGTGCAGATAATAACGTTTGACACTCCCCATGTCTGCTAGAGAGACTCGGTCATGTGAATTGAATCAGCAAAGCACTTTAGTACCAAGATTAACACATCGGTATCTCACAGAGTGATGAAATATCAATAAAAAACCAAACAATTCTGCAAATATTCGAGCATTTCCCAGACTTGAAACAAGCTTATTACGTACTACCGAGAGCTGTTTTTAGTAGATTAATAAATAAGGTCATGATGTGCCCGGCGCTAAAGCTGCAGCGCAAGAAACCCGCCGGCGGTAAGCGGGGTTAACGGAGCGCTGGCACGTGCTTGCGAGCGCGCTTTACTATTTTTGAAGTCCACCACCCCACTCGGCACTCGCAAAATCCCTTTTCTCTCAACTTTAGAAGGGAAGGAAGCATTTCGCACCACTACAGTGACCAAATGTGCTATTCAACCATTCCACAGTGTACATTTTGGTCACCCAAGAAAAAAGCACTTTTTTGCAGCTGCGGTTTCTTAAGCTCAAAACATCCCGGCGATTCCTCCAGATCGCGGTCGCTACGCGATTCTGCAAATTACTGGAGTTTGCAAATTACAGGCGTTTGGAATTGAAGTGCATAGGCACATTGCTTTCATAAGCTGATGCTTACATGTTAATTCTTGCTTGTAATTGCGTTTAAAAGCAACTATAAAGTTTGAGATTGCGCGGAGACCCAGCACAAATTAGGTTCCAGCTTTTTAAGGCGATGTCTTTCCTTCTTCCCCCTCCCTTGACTTTCAGTGTTATCACAAAGTCACTTTGGATACATAGCGACCTATAAGAAACTTCTGAGCTTTTGTCAAAGTGTAGGTTGCAGATAAATTCTTAACTTGCTTACAATGGTGATCGGAATGTTATGGGCGAAACAAACAAATGCAGGCAAAATGCATGTGGAAATAGAGAATAGGAAAGAAAAGAGGGAACAAAAAAAAAACAGAAGGAGCAGATAGAAACAAGGTAAGCTCCATTTTGCATTTGATACGCGTGTCTATTATAGCGGCAATGAAAATCAATTTTTATGCTCAGGGATAGACTTATGAATGCAGAAGTGGTCCATGATAAAAGAATTATAAAGCTTAAGTAAACTCACAAATATTAAGTTGTCCCGAAAGTTCAAACCAATATAAAACCGCACACAATGAAGACCTGAATGAGTTTCAACATGCATTTGATGCAACTTTTTCTTCTCTTTCTTACGGATACATTTTCGAACCACTACCTTGTATGCTTTTTTTTTTGATATTTGCCAAAATTCTCCATTCATCAATCTTATGTGCTCAAAGTTCGGCTAATTTTTGAAAATTTCATTGCAAAGATTCGAGAAAAGTTGAGTATGGTTCAAATAGAGCTTTTCTCGGACTACAAGGAGCAATTTTTAGGTTTCGCTAATCTGCTGTCTTTACCTTGAAAAAATTATTTCTCAAGAGGTCTCGATTTTTGGCAAAGTGGTGAATCACGCAACTGCAGCAAATACACGAAAGCTTTCAAAGTTGCTACATTTTAAAAAATGATTCCATTCAAACATTATTTATGCAACATGACCAAGTTTGATTTGCTTTGAAAAAGCAGTTTTTTGGAATTTTCGGCACTTTTACGTCGTAAACGTGACTGAAAAGCTACGGTTTTTATTAAATAAATAATTATAATGGACTTGGTAAACGTGGCCCATGCAATCTAAAATAAGTAGAATGTAGCCAAAGGTTTGCTCTACATGGCAGTTATCAGCGCTCTTTGAAAACATCAGGATAAAAATTTTTAACATTTATGAAAGATTTGGCGTTACTGCTGAGCTGCTCAAAAAGCCATGGCGATAGCATTGCAAAGACAGGGCAGATCAGAGACCAAATACAGCTGTAAGAAAGACGATAAAAATCTGAATCAAATGGTACCTAGGTTGTCCATGGATTGGTGTTCTGTGAGTTTTAGTGATCGACGAAAAAAAAACGAAGTAACCGAGAAAACTTTCGGGACAACCTAATACATATTTTTATTTTATTTCGGTACACCTAACAAAGAAATGATACTTTGTGACCGTGGCTTTTTGCAGTGACTGTAATACAGTGGGTGCGCCTTGAAACGTTGATTCGCAATCTATGTTTATTAATTGCTGTCCGATTTCCCGAACAAAGTTCTGTGCTTTCCCCGTATCAATTTCAAGAAATTTAGGCAGTTAGAACCGTCAGTATCAAGAATTTTTAGACTCTGATATATCACAAACGTTTTTCTAAACTTAAAGCAAAACTTTCTTCTATCTTAACGCTTTTCAGTGAGTAAGTGAACATTCTAACGATATTAGTTAATAAAGCGCACAGCGGATAACAAAAGCAGACTTGGAATTTGTGTTTTAGGATGCAGTCAACAATGTACGTTTCATTCATAAGGCCACGGTTGCCAAGTATCTTTTCGTGGTAAGAGTGCTCTCATAATCAACGAAACATCACCATAGCTTGATCAATGCCAGGCACGCGAAAATTTAGCAATGCACCAGTTGTTAGCATCGGTAAGAACTTACAAAAATTTGCTCTCTCTGGAAAGAGCCAATGCAACAAGCGTAAAGCTGCGCATCTTTTTATTCTTCAAAATCAAAAACCAATTCATACAAAGGAGCAGCGAGCTTGCGCGCGTGCATGCCTAATTATACCGCAAAAAATGAGAGATTACAATTTCAAACATACAATAAAATATAAGAAGGAAAGACATTCTTAAAGCCGAACATTTGTGTTGTCATAGAAGAAGGTTCATATCCAGGGTCAAGCGCGGGATGTGGCACGCCACACCTGAAGGGTCGTATTGAGGAGTCAAAAGGGGACGGGTTCGTAGTTAGGTAATCTGTTAATAGTGATAACATGATATTCGTATCATATGCATAATTAGCATGCCAATTAACCCCTGTAGACAAAGTTTAAGCTAATTCTGAAGGTTCAAGATACTAGGCTACCTGGGTGAAATGGTCATATTCCAACATGGTTAACTTGTTTCAAAGGTGAATTAGCTAACCGTTTTGCACTCATGACAAAGCACTACTCCTTCTTTGTCCATTTCAGAAATCCCGCTTCAAAAGACCTCCAAACTGTGGAATTAGAAGCCAACCAGAATTTCATTTCCCCCAAATTTCGCTTTTAATGGCTGTGCTTTCACCAAATATTACTCAGAGCTAAGAAAACAAATTGGGCTTAAAACATTCCTATGAAATCTACGAGGCGCTGGCTATCGATTCATATAAATACTGTTCGCTAAAAATGTTTTTTTGATATAGTTAATGGTGTGTGGCACACCCCCTAAAAGCTGTGGCAGCCTCAGCTTTTAAGGGGTGTGCCACATTCCATTAACTATACCCAACTGGGGGCAACCCTGGCTTAGTGGTAAATGATTTGAATGACGATTACAATAGGGATTATGGTACTCGTATTACTTTGGTTTTTTGAATACTTCTAACTTCGATTAGCAGTAATATAATCAGAAAATTCAGGCTTTAATCTAAAGCCATTTGAAAGCTCAATTTTGCAAAATTGCAATAAAGTTGCATGCGAAAGAGATTAAAACCTTCACACTCTCCTTATCAGGCAAGTCACTTACATCACGCCAGTTGTCACCAGCTGGCACTCCTCTGCAGTGCTCATAGATATGGGGAGGGGCCTGCTGGAGGGCGCCTCAACCCCGACCCAGAGGGAAACAGCCCTCATAACTCCTTTTACAAAACCGCTCCGCTGCTAGAAACGACAGATTTGGAATCAGCGTTTCAAACGCTTAAGAATGATATATGTCTTATCTGGATTGGTGGTTTCGACTAAGTATTCTCCCCTTGTGAGTGCGCAAACTGTTTAGAAAGTTAAACAGCGGCGTCAATGAAAGGGAAAATGAGCACTCTCTCTTTTTGAATTTTGAACAGCACCCAAGTTATATCTTCAACATTTAACACATGAAATTCATCTACCTTTAAAGCAGTTCTCAGTGCGGCAATCGGTTGATATTCGTGTTACAATACAAATGATCACTTTAATGATTTTGAAGAATAATACAAATTAGAATTTGGGCAAAAATAAGTCCAAAATGGTTCTGATTTTTGCATCGTGTTGTCGCTTAAAATCAAAAGTGGTAACAAAACTCAATCAAATTTTTGTGACATTTGTGCCCCGTGCAGCACAATTTGACACCATAACTAGCAAAATTTTTGTAAAAATCCCACTAATTATATACCTATACAAAATCCAAAACTGAGTCCAAATCTTTACAAAACTGTTGATTAAGATTGACGCTAACTATCAAACTTACGATGTACAATTCAATCTACGTCATTGGCAGACATCAGTGAATTACCATATACGCATTCAGCGTTTGAAGAACTGTTAATTCTATGTCACCCTTCAGGTGTTACACTTCAATTTTCGCCATCGCAAATATGCTTATTTTTGATTTAGGCCCGGATGGGAAATCTTTCGAGCGGAGACTGTACACAGCATCATGTTGAAAGCAAGAGTGCCGAATTCTAAGAATCTGTACTCATCATGCGTCGAATTGCGGCCTGTTCTACGGAATTCTTGTGTTCGTGTAGCTGATTCTGAGAAATAAAACTTAATATAGCACTTACTGTTATCATAAACAATAATTACTACCAACACACCAATTACTGAGCTTTTTATGTCAAGGAAATAGAAGCTAACTGGAATGGTCGGCAAGGATGCACTTTGCGATTTCGCATGGCACATATAACTACTACTCTGGAATCAGCGCAAAAACTCTGTGTGACAATCAATGTGGCTTGGATGATTAAGCCTTTCAGCCTTTCATTAATCATATGCTAAAACTGGTTACAGACTACTACGACTTTACAAATGGATAATCGGGTCAAGTGTCCGCTGCGAGCTGCCGATGACGACGTACTGATTCATTTTGGGCAAGTTGCCTCGAGTGATAATCCAACCATGGGACATTAAATTGGTCGTAGATATGATCTTGATAGGGATATATCACGAAACCAGATTTAATCACCAATTAAATTTAAAACTGCTAAGAGTCGCCAGGAAATGATGAACGTTTTTGTCACTTTTTTTTCAAAGATATCATTTTCTCACACTTCCTCCCTGATTCAATCTCTGACATTCTATTTTTGAGTAAAGTTAGAATTGCAGCTGTTCATTTAAGCTTTTGTGCTTAGCGGCATGCACATGAGCAATGCCAATCAAAAAGCTCAGGGAAAGACCTAATTTTGATATAAAATTCACGTGATTTTGAACTAATTCAACATTCAGATCCCCGGCTCTTACTCTTTGTTGAAAGGCTTCAAGCCGCATAGTCTGCAATAATCTAATCTCTCCTAATACGTCAAGAAAATACAGGCCGTCCGCGCTGTGGTGCGAGAGCAGCGCTGTTGCGTTCACTAAAGATAGTTAATGACTGGGGGAGAGCATGAGGAAAGGGAAATGACACGCAGAACACACTGCGCATTCTTAGCACCCTGCACGGACGGCTATATGTCTTTTCAAACTATTACGCTAAAAACGACACATTCGCAAACCAATAGAACGGACTTTAGAACAATGCTTGAAATATCATTCTTGAATTCTTTCATATTATGTGTATGTCGAACACCAATTCAATGAGTGGAAGGGCAAGAATAAGCTTAATTTTGCACCAACTATCGCGTCGCATCCACATGTAGCCGTCATTGTAGCGATACCCCAAACGATTAGAATTTTGAACAAAACCATAAAAAGTTAGCCGCTTTTATCAGAAGTTCTGAATGAAGTGAGACCTGAGTAAATCATTGGGTTTGTAAGTTCGTAGAGTTTTCATAATCTGACGAAACGCCAGAAGTGTGTTGAACTTTGGTTAATCAATAGCATATGTTCCGTTGTTGCGCACAACCTTCCGCCATCTTGCGGTAATACTTTTAGTCAAATTTAGCGAAATCTTAACGAGTTTGGTCTTAAAGAAGTCGTCTGACCAGCGCTTAAAATGGCCTTCAAAATTTTCAGCAGCACATTCAATGCTAATATAAGTTCCTGTCCAGGGAAGTTGACGACATCCGCCGTATGAAGCAATAGTTTACCATAAAGAAAGACTCGTTGGACCTGTCTATTAGGCTTTTTCTGCAGTGTGAAGGTGCTTATAAGGTGCAGATAAGTTGCTCATAGTATGGTTGACTGTTCTGTACTTGTCCAGCAATTTTCAGTGCGGGACCGTCTGCCCCTCCCACTAAAAGTTTTGTTCGAAGGACGCCAAGTTTAGTCGTGATCTTTTGAAGCAGTTCATTGTTTTACGCCTCATATTGACTTGTGAACGCTATTTTCCATAGTCAGCAAAGAATCTATGCAAAAACTGTCTTTTAGTGAAGACGCGCAGATGTCAAGATGAGCTGTCTTGGTTTACATATTTCCATCTTTAAAAAACTGAGAAATCGAAGTAAATGAGTTTTTATCCGAAAAGCAAGCCCAGCTTCTGTTAATGACGAAAGCATCTCGCCGCGAATAGACCGCTCTTCAAAAAATGAGAGAGACTCTAATGAAGCCTTCAACACTATCAAATGAATGAGGCTTACAGATGCGTCATTCTATCTAAGTTTAACATTTTCCAAGCGCAGTCGCAATCATAAGGTTAGCTTTCTTACTATTAGTTTTGCTTATAGCGAACTTGCAGGCAGTGGTTCGGCAAAACTCAACAACTCAAAAGTTTAACGCGATAGACTCCTTATTGCCCAAGTATGGAAACAGTGCAATCCGGTTGCACAGCATGCCTTCCTTGGCGAGAAAATTGCTCTCAAACTTACACGCGTAGGCCATTCTTACACGCATCTGGACGAGTTGGCAATTTCCTTCACACCACTGGATGCTGCCTGCCGCAATGCTATGACCATTGGGTCCTGCAACGATTCGGCGTCATCAGCTTTGCAGCACTCGTCCAATTCCAAAGGGAAGGGCATTGAAAAACGCTCGTTTTCGGCATTTTCAAACTCTCAAAAGTGGATTTTCGGAATCAGCGTATTGAATAACCCGATAAGCGAAAATTTGACTGTGTTGAGATCTGCCGAGCCACTGCGTTTGACTTTGTGCCTATAAGAATTGCGTGAGAAGTCATCTAAGCAATAACACCTTGAAAGTTGCCGTTTATACGTGAGCTTAAGCTTCATAACATAAGTAAGTTAAACATAAGCATTTTTCATAATGTTTTGATGAGGCCTTTTTGCAGTGTATACACAAGTACTACATGATGCCAGCGGAGGCTCGCCAGAACATTCGAAAAACTGCAAAAGCAGCTTTGGACTTCAAAATAAAGAGGCTAAGGTGCTTCGCCGGCTCCACAACTTCAAAACGGGCCGCTGTATTCGAATTTGACGAAAAATTGGATGATTGAGCAGAAAGGATATTATACAGGGTGTCCCAAAAGTAAGTACACACTTTTTAATCGTTAATATCTCTCTTCCCATTGAGTCTTTTTCAGCCGTTCAATTATCATTTTGTAGAGGAGGCTTCAACTTAGATTTACAGCAACGAGCAAACCACCGACCGCTTTTAGTTACTGTGGGATTAAGGTAAGAACTTCCAGCATGCGGAACCATTGTGAAATATGCCATCCGACAAAATTTTCTCAAAAAATCTGAAAAATTGTGTACAAAGGTTTTCGCGCACGCCGATTCCATTACACAACTTTTTGTAAGTGTTTTCAGCTTTTCTGACAGCGTAATTACAGTTCCGACAAATGCTGGTAACTCGGTTATTACGGTTTACCTAAGATATCTTAGGAAAAAAGCACCAAAGTCAAGTGGAAGTTTCATATTCGAAATCAGCGGCTTCCGCTACCATAGTATAAGAGTTTTTGGCTTGTTTGGTTTTGTTCCAAGGCAGAATATGGCTTGCAACGGTCTAGAATCCTTGTCGAAGTTTCTACAGTAATCCTACAGTAACGAAGAGCGATCGGTGATTCGCTTGATATTGTAAATCTAAGTTGAAGCCTCCTCTACAGGATGACACTGAAAAAGAAAAAGGCTGAAAAAGACACAATGGGAAGAGAGATATAACGATTGAAAAGTGTGTACTTACTTTTGGGACACCCTGCATATGATATATATTAGGCCGTTCCAAAAGTAATGTCGCTTTTTTCAAATGAACGCCACATTTCATGGAATCAAGATCTCTAAGAGATCTTAGGGGCATTCGATGCAACATTTCATCCTCTTTCTAATGGTTGTAATTTCTTTGCATAATTTTCATTGAGAATTCGAAAAATTAAAAAAATCTGCAACTCATGATTTTTGCCATGGTCAAGTTCGGCAATTTTTTAAAATTTTTGTACCTATTCTCCGAAGAAGCACAAGTGGCAGTTAGATAGAGCAAACCCTATAGGACACGGGATAATTTTTTTCTTTTCCTTAGCTTGCTTTTTAGAGTATCTGGAATCATTTTTAAAATGCCATCAAATTCCATATTTGGTCATCTCAAACCTCACAGAACAACAACCGGCAAGCAACTCGGGCGTCATTCGACGCAGCTTTTCTCCTCTTTCTACCAGTTGTTCTTGGTTTCCAATTCATCAAGTTTTCCGAGATAAAATCATCATAATTTAGGTTTTCCAGGGCGCCTCCGGCTGTACCCGGAATTTTCGAAAATTGCTAATTTGAGGCGATAAATGCTCATTTGCTTTGTAAAGTTGGTGTAAAATCATAATCCATTTTTGTAAGTTTTGAAATCCGACGATTTCTTGGTGTTTGATGCTTTTGTGTCTGAGACGAGCCTGAAAATTCAGTGGTTCCATCAAAAAATCTATACAAAAATTTGGACGAGCTCTGAAAAGTAGAAAAAAGTTGTGCTGTTTCCTGTAGGGTTTGCTCCATCCATCCATTACTTGAACTCTTTCTGAGGTTTGTTATAAAATTTTAGAAAAATTGTGAAACTTGGCCATCTCGAAAAGCATAGGTCGCAGATTTTGACTCTTTTCTGGAAGCTCATTGACTGTTTTGCAACAACTTCATAACCATTTGAAAGAGAATGAAATGATGCATCAAATGCTGCCAGAATCTCTTACGTATCTTTGTTCCACGAAATGTGGCGTAGGTTTGAAAAAAGCGACATTACTTTCGGAACGACCTAATACTATAGATGCTTGTGATATATGCTCACAAGGGAATGGTCAGAAATCGAAGTGGCCAATCCATACAAGCTGCATGCCAATCGATGCAGCATAGAATGCTGATTTCAAATCCGTCTTCCGTATCTGCAGACCGCCTTTGTTGGCGAAATTATGAGCAGTTTTACTGCGAAAAAATCGTCCACAAAAACTGCGAAATTAGGTAAATTATTGCTCTTTTAACTCACCTCTAGGTACGAGCCATATGAACTGGCCTAGTTACATGTTTTCATCCAACACTGAGCCGAGAATAGCTTTGTACGTCCAAGTTTGACCTTTACACGCACAATTTCTTAGCAAAATAATGACTTTAACGGCTTATAGTTTCGCCTGCAAAAGCACTCTGCAGATACGGAAGACAGATTTAAGGTCAGTGTTTTATGCTGCATCTAACTGTATGCAGCTTGCTTGAATTGGCCACTTCGATTTCTGACCATTCCCTTGTCAGCAACTGTGGCTATTTATTGTACAATATCAATTTTTTGAATATTTTTGTGCTCGGGAATTCCACTTGAATCATACAATTACTAAACACTCATTTTAATCATTGTTTTCTTACATGCATTTTCATCAGAACGACAATAAAATAGCAAGAGAGTAAGATGAATATAGGAAAAATCGGCAAAAAATGAAAATAACGACAGAAGTTATTAATAAGAATAATACAATAAATCAAGAAAAGCTTTCCCAAATAACTGAACGCTGTGTTTTCAAATCTGAATTCCTACTTCACTTTACCAACTCCGAAGCGAACTATGGCGAAGCGGTTCCGGCACGTTTTTGCTGGGTGCATGCGCCCAATCTGACTTAGAGGACCAAATAGGCGCAAAGAATAGATCAGCTTATTTTTATGTGATGATATGGGAACCAATATATTAGGTTGTCTCATAATTAATGCACGTTTTTATTTGCTTGCTTTAACAAAGCTAACAGACTCAACCCAACAAAGGGTAAGGGGTACTGTTCGATAGAGCAAAGCAAGCTCCTCTACAAGATGGCACTCATGCCTTTGCGCCATGCTCGATCCACGGAGAGTTCGAACACAAAATCTAAAGATTTCCAAATGCTCAAAAAATCGAAAAAAATCAGATCTTCATCCAAATGAGTTCTACGGACCTCCCACTCGCTCACATTAATACTATCGATATCTGATATCCACATGTGCGATTGCCGTATTTTTTCCTTGACTAGAAACTGAGAAGACGAATATTTTCGTGTTTTTCTAAAAGCAATGCTGAGCCGTTTTTGCATATGTAGTTCCATACTACAAGCCTAGGTAAGTATAACTTTAGATTTTCAGCCCATTTCGAGCGGTACTTTTCGAGAAATGTCGATTTTAGCACTGAAACTGAAACGAAAAAATCCGAATTCGTTATTTTTCGAAAACTACCGCTTGGAATGGGCTGAAAATCTACAGTTATACTTACCTAGGCTTGTAGTATAGAAATGCATATGCAACGGCTTTAATTCAAAGCATGAGAACCCGATTTGAGCTCATACATCTTGCAAGAAAAGCCGCACAAGTGGGTAATTTAAAACAAGCTTTCTAGGAAACTCGTTGCTTTATCTACCGGTGTTGAATGATTTGCCCATAAATGCAGATTTTTAGAGCTACGTATTTCCAAAGTCTGAACTTTTCGCTCATTAAAATTTGTTTTCTATTAAGAATGAAAAACTTCTAGACTTCCAGAACTTCATGAGAAATAAGGAGCAAGGTCCCTCCATAGTAAGCAATGGCTTACACCAACAAATCCAATCAACGGTGAGCTATGCAGCAATTTATAAGCCAAAGCCCCAAGAGCGTGAAAGTTTGCCGTGACTTTATTGGAAAAAGGAAAAATTCGTGTTGCGAAAGTTAAATTATGATATAGATAGTGTAAAGGACGCTGATTCCGATTATATGTCTCCCTTTGCTTGAAAGTGATTTTCAAGAGACTTATGCTGCTGCGGCGTTTCCGGCGCGATATCTTGCTCAATCCGCTGTTTTCAGCGGTAGCGCCGACGGTACTGTACGTTTGCGTGTGTTCAGTAAACTTAATCAAACTGATACATGATATTTATGTCCTCTGAGCCTCCCATACCGGACCGTGGTGTTACATTTTGACGAAAATGTTTCTAGCAGTGTTGTTACCCTTGCTATTGTTTTCTAGGACCCAAAAAAGATTTTTGCACAAAGAATTTGCAAACAGTATCTGCGCAAAGTCTTGAGGTCCGGCTTGTTTTTACTAATTGCAACCTCTTCAGGTCAGGGAAAGGACTATGCGTCGAGAACGCCTTGACTAATGGGAACAGTACATTCAAAAAAATTTTACCAATTTTAAAGTGCAGTCTCGGCCTCACGTTATCGATTTTATGGTGATTATATTGTGAATTTCATTTATTGGAGTTTACTTAAGATTTTCAATGGAATTTTACCAAAGGAAATGATCACGTTTTTCCAGCAACGTTCTCACTTGAATTGCGGAAGAAAATATTTCCAGACATTTAGCACCATAGTTCTGTTTTTTTGTCCTACCAGACCAATTCAAGCTCAAAAAATATTCTCTTGCAACTTCTAAACTCGTCTGTTGCTGATCACTTGAATTATTAAGTACACTTGCATGTTCTTTTCATAAATATTCATTTCATAGGACCATAACAGACCTTATTATATAAACAGGTGGGCTTGACAAGGTGCATCCATCTTTCCAAATGATTTCGGAGTTACACATCTTCGGGCTTGTTTCTAATCTATATAGTTTCTTCTATTCTTTGAATTTCAGCCAAATACACATTGAATTTCTTGTGCCAGCTTGGAATGAACCCATGAAATTGTGAGCCCAAAATTTATTGACTTAAATTGGAGCTGGATCTTTTGGTGCGATTGCACCAAAGAGCTCATGACTGACACTTAGTGAGACAATTAATGTCCCAAGATGTATACGGTTATCACTAGCTTAAAAGCATTAGGTTAAGTGATGGAGTGCAACGTTTGAATACATTAGGAGCGCGAAGCAAACCATCAGCCTCCCCTTATGACTATAAGATTAAGGTAACAAGAGCTCACTAAGTTTTCTAATTTTCGCCTAAAATATAATCATGAAATCAAAAAAAATCGAATGAAGATGATATAGGTTGGCTCAAAAGTCTCTTTGTACCATTTTCGAAAATTTTTATAATTTTTCACTCTCTCAATAGAATAACATGCATATTTTTAATTGGGAGAGAATTACAAAATTTGATTTCTTTGTATAGTGTTGCTAAAATTTGAAACATGCAGTAAAAGTCGGGTTAATATTCTAGGTTTGAACTGATCTTTCCGTCTGGGCAGGAATTGTATTGATTAAGCTTTTCTACGAAAACTTGTGATTTTCGAGCAAGCAGTACAAATCAGCAAATTTGATTATTTTGGCATTTTTCTCGAAAAGTGGAAAAGAGCACTGTGAATTGAGAGGGTAAATCCAAACTAAAGATGGCCCTTCACTAGGTATTTTGGAATATATCTTAAAATGTGACAAATTAATTTTGTCAAATACCAAACAGTTTTGCATTTTTGAACACCTTTCGTGTTTGGTGCGTGTTGTTTTTTTCGGCTATTTTTTATTCACATGTGAAATTGCTCACAGCTCCTCTTTTGAAGTTTATAAAGAACAATGCGTGCCTGGATGCTTGCACTCGTTGTACTAATGATCACAGCAATGAGCGTTACCATGGCGGGACCGCTATCTATGGATGCGCCAGAATCGGAGTCTGAAGAGAGGTAAAGAATTGTGACTTTTATGTAAGCTTCGACAAACTCGTCATGTCATACATCGACAAAGACATTAAGATTTCATGTAAACATTCAAAAATTCTCCGAGCTCAAACATCTTCTTTCAGCAGCAATGTCCGCCAGAAGAGACAGTTTCTGTACGGATATCCCAGCTACAGGTCGTTTTCATATGGTTATGGATACGGATACCCCAGCTACGGCCGTCTCTACTATCCTTCCTTCTCTATATGGGGTTAACGCCGATAACGAATAATAATACGTATTTTACAGCTTAGTTAACATTTGATTCAACTGGAATGGCGGCTGGAAGGCGAGGCTTTGTTAACTAATTGAGCCGCTCGCGCCCGCGACCAGTCTGCGTCTCTTTCGCGCGTGCTCTCTTCTGCTCTGATCATTCTCTAGCCTTGACTAAGTCACGAAGCCCGCCTCCCTGCTGCCAGTTCAATTAAAACAAACGGTACATTTATTTTTCTTGTAGCTATACGTATGCTTGTAGCTAATAGTTTTGTGCTACAGTACAAATGGCAAAATACAAATAAAACTACAAAAGAGTGCAACACATGAGCGAACTATATCATAAAATCTCAAACTGTTTACTTTCTAAAACACGTGCTTTCAAACATTTGTTTGTCGGAGCTTTATTTTTTTAAAGCTTTTCCTTCAAGATTTTACAATAAGGAAGAGGCGTAGGAACAGTAGGTAGCACCCTGAATCAAAATTTGCAAAAGAAAAATTATTTTTGATGTTGAGGTTTAGAAAAAATTAGTAGAAGAACTTGATCACTTATGATTTGATCTTCTTATATATAAAGCTGAATGTCTGTTTGTCTGTCTGTATGTCTGTCTGTGTGTACGTATGTTCCGAATAGAAAATTCCATTTCTGAACCGATCTGGACCAAACTTGGCACATATACACTTCGGGCCCCGACGGGTGTCATAGGCTACTTTTCGTCATCGATCGATATCGATTTTATCGATTTTTTGCAAAATTTGAGCTACGGGGCTGGGAGTTGGCACAGGGAGAGTAATCGAGCATGCTGATTACGAATAAAATAATGACAGGGCCGGGCGGAGCGTAAGCCAGCTAGTTGACTAATAAGAGCAACCTTGCATGATCTGTGTCGTGTACTTTCGGAAATATCCGCCTGAGGACTTTTCAGACTAAAGGTTCATGACGATTTCACCTGATGTGTAGCGTCGTTTACATTAGTCCTTTTCAGTGACAAAATAGGAAAAATCCGGGCATTTTTGAAAATCAGTGAAACTTGAGGATATATGGGGTTATAACAAACATAAGGTCATTTGCAACCTAAGTCACGCACATCGATCCGAAATTCTGCAAAGATCGTTGAAGAGGCTGTCTCATTTCACTTGACTAAAAAGAAATGGAGTTTGAAGACAAATCTTTGAAGATTTGGTGCCGCAAACTTTGAAGGGCAACCGTCAACATTAATTTATTGAAATCTTAGAATATGCCTAAACTTGGCTTTAGGAAGCTACTTGACTTGCTGAACGCAAAAATCATATCATTTGTTCGAAACCCCTCTTTTCGTGTTTAGGGCGAGACCCCACACCGTATATCTGCAGTAGTCCTACGAAATGGCTTTACCACGCAATAGTAGTGTTTTCATGATCAACAGGTAGCAGAACCCCCATAAGTTAAGTTGCAGCCAAATCTGCATTGATTTGATAATTTCCCCACTATACCGTTTACCTACCGTAACCCTCATACGACTTCAGAATTTAACAGAATGGTAGCTGCATTTGGGAAATGAGTCAGAGCTTACGCAATGACATCTGAAAGTGTCATGCTCAAAGAGAGAAAACCTAGAAGAAAGATTTGAAACCTAACACAGTTTAATGAATAAGAAGCTCATGAGTAGAGGTTAAATAGAGACCTCGTTGCGCTGCAATTCACTTTTTCAAGAGCCACCTTTCTTTCATGTGGGCATCATAGGCTAAAAGGCACTCAGCGCCCAGCACGAGGGTAGCAAAGAGTAGTACGCTCTTCAGTCACATAAGTTTTTCATAATTTTCACACTTTGTTTCTTATTCCTACTACGCGTATACATGCCAAATCTCGCGCAATTTCGTATCTCTGCGTTGCAAACGAGCTATTTTTTCCTTTGGTAACGGAAAATTTTGAGAAAGAAGCTTGCCACAACCTTCAATCGCATAATTCTTTAATAAAACTTCTTAGTTAACCCTTGCAGGCCCGTGTTCATGTATGTACCAAGTTTCACACATTTCGTCATCTGCGTGTTGCAAACGATCCAAAAATGAATTAGTATCTTTATTTACCAGTTGTGCAAATTTTGGGAAAAAATATTTATTTCACCTCTATTCCATAAGTTTTTCGTAATTTTTCTTATTTTGTTTCCACTAGCCTCTCTTCGTTCGCTTACGAAATTTGGTACCATATCGTTGCGCATACATTGAGAACTAAACATGTAACAAATATCATTGTTTAAGCGAAGTCGCGCGAGGCAATCAGCGACGGCGAGGCGCATTTTGACGCGCGCAAACTTTAGTGTGTTCACCTACTGAGGCACGTAACATGTTAAGATAAGCAGAGACCCCGCAAAAATATCCTCTCTGCTTTTTCACCCAAAACGATTTCCAGCCTGTCGTTTGCCCTCCTCGTGCCGGACCCTGAGGGTGCCCCCTTATAAGACAAATGCGTGTTCCTCCAGATTTGACAAACGATCTTCAAATCTTCATCGTAAGACATTTGCTCCAACGAAACGCAAGAAATCACATAAAGGCTGCTGCATGACGAAGGCGCAGGAGCAGTATTAGTTGAACGTGCGCGAATGATGCGCGAGCGTATCTTTGCCGTTGTAAATCTTGCGCCTCATGCGCTCTGCGGCCATTGAAACCGCGTTCGCGCTCAAAGGTATTGCGCCTTCGTCATGCGGCAGCCTACACACTCGGCAGACCTTTATTGATCCCGGTCAATGACCTATCTAGGTGGCTGTTTAGTGGCTTTATGGAATCAAATTTAGTCCTAAAGCCGCTTAAATTACTGCTTGCAACATATTCATTTCATAAATACTATGAGTTGAAAAATTCATGTGTAAAGCATTGATTTTCCGTCTTTAATGTTTACCTACCATAACTTTTATGCAAAGCTTTATTTGAGCAATTATTATGTTACAGCGGCATCTTAATATAAAAAAAAATATTCGTACCCTTTGATTCAACGAGATTGACGGGTGAAGGCGACCGCTTGCGCCCGCGGCGCAGTCTGCGTCTCTCTCGCCAACATGCTCTCTGATCATTTCCTAGCCTTAATTAGGTCACGAAGCCTGCCCTCCAGCTTGCAATCCGGTTGAATCGAAGGGTACGTTTACAACATCACGAGGCATTAAAATTATCACTCATACCAAAACCAAGGGAATGAAGGGTGGCCAAGTCATGAGTGTCCGTAGGGATAATGATATCCCCCAACCACCCATCCTCCCCAGTGATGTCTTTTTCGACGATAGTGTAGCTGAAAAATTCAAAATTGACTGAGCGCAGCTTGACGTATGAATAGTCCTACCATGAAAATTGCTGTTGCAATTTTTTGAAGAAAAGAAACATGATACATATCTACTGCGTTATGCTTAAGCCACGGTCGATTCTCTGGTATTTTCAGCGGGTAGCTGGAGCATGTTATTGAGAGACACAGTACACATAATGCAGTAATCGACCGCGAATTCATTGTAAATTGCGGCGAGTTGAAAGAAAAATCTTTCATGGTTTGCAATTTTTCCCTAATTCAATTAAGTCTTCAAGAAAAGTGGTGAAATGAGCTGAAATAATCATTTTTCAAAATCTGTGGAAATCTTTTTACTCACTTATTGAGTTGGAAACTAAGTTTTGCAACTCATTCAATAACTCTCCTCTCAACATCGCGCACTCAAATTCTGCCACTGTGTTGGTTATGACATAAGCTACGAGCACAGCTGCTGTTTCACCAAATTCTAATGTCGCAGTGAGGGTTACAATTGATATATGGTACAAATGGGAAAATTATAAAATCTTACAGATTGCTGGAACTCGGCATAGCGGGGATATCCGACATGCTAATCACGAAAACGATACTGAAGTTGCGTGACAAGAGTTAGTATGTAAGTAAGCCTTCCGAGGTTAGTAGGTCTTTATTAGTGGCGGCCTCACGTTTCGAACAAGTCGTCTTCTTCAGAGGCCTAAAGTGGTAGGAGATTTTGATTATGTGTCTAACCCACCAAATTCCTCCACCAGTCCCCAACCAGCCTCGATTTTGCCCCAGAATAACACAAAAAAAAGTCCCAAACAGAAGAGAACACCACAGTGTCCAGTCTTTTATAGTCTTGTGAAGACCCATAAGCTAGCCGCTACTGATGACACGCGCTTTTTGACCGCCGAACAGTTAAAAATCAGACCGATCATAAGTTGTGTAGGAGGACCAACCGACCGAATATCCTGGTTCTTGAATAAGATTGTTAATCAGTTACTGGACCAAGTCCCGTCCCATTTAACCAACACGAATCACTTTCTGGAACGCTTGCGCAATACGAATTTACCGTCTAATTGCGTGGCAGAGTCCTTTGACGTGGTGTCTTTGTACACCAATGTTCAAAATGACGATGCTCTACAGGCAGTTTCAGAAATGCTGAATAACTTTGGTAAAAAGATCCAGACTTTCGGATTGAGTAAAAGATCGGTAATGCTCCTGATCAGAGAATGTCTCTCTTGCAACATCTTCAGATGGTCAGGAACATACTACGCTCAACTGAGAGGTTTGGCAATGGGACAAAGACTTGCACCAGTACTCGCGATATGCTTTATGAGCAGAATAGAAGAACCAGTGCTGTCACGTCCACCTCTTATGTACTGCCGTTACATAGACGACTGTTGTGTCATAACATCAACACAATCCGAAATGGATGAGTGTTTTCGATTGCTCAATCAACAGTCACAGTACATAAAGTTTACGCGACAACAACCGAAAGATGGCTGGCTTCCTTACCTCAATGTACAGATCAGACTGTTCAACGGCGCCGCGAATGTAAAATGGTATCGTAAAGAAAGTTCAAAGAACATCTTGATAAATGCTCGTTCAGCACATCCAACCGCTGCTAAAAGGACCGTTATACGTAACATGCTCAAGACAGCAGCGAATGTGTGCACAGGAGAAGAAGAACGGAAGGAATCGCAAAGAAGGGCGCTGGAAATTGCTGGATTGAATGGCTACACGCTCCAGAAAGGACGTGCTAAGCCAATCATTCCAACCAATAGCAAACAGCACCATCAGAAAGTTGCTCTTTGTCTTCCTTTCGTTTCCGATGCGACTAGTGCCGCAGTGCGACGTTGCATTAACCGCGCGAATTTGAAAGACGATGTCATTCTAATTGACATTCTAAGTGACAACA